CTAATGTTTTGAGGATTGCAATTTCTCCCCTATCTTACAGGAGGACTTGGCATGGTTTTCCAGCTTTAAGTGCCTCCATGCTATTTCATGTGAGATTTCAGACATCAATGTTACATAGAGCGGGTTTCTGAGGGATTTTAATTTAAACAAGCTGGCACAGACATACAATTAAACCTTAGCATAGATTTCCATTTTACTAACTATAGAGTCAGATCAGATTTCTGTTGAGATGTCAACCCAAAATAACATAAGTCCAAGGCACACAAGATTGTCTGGATGACAGGTAGATTTACATTAATTTGATGCTAATTTTATAACACCTGTAGCAATTTACATCATTTGCATAATGTTAAGCTATTTGTCTCAGTTTGAGGTAAAAGCATGCAAATTATGTAAATAACTGCAATGATGTACTCATATTTAACAAGATGTTAATATTCCTTTCCCAATTGGTCCATTAAAATGATTTTTATGTATCTGGAGAGTAAGTAATGCCATCTTGTGAGCAAGGGGGGCAATTGCATCGGTAATCCAGGTCTTTAGTTTTAAATAGCACTAAGATTTGCACTCTTAGCTGTTCATGGAAATATCGTGCTAGAAGCACCTACAATAAGTTCTCCATAGTAAAATCCTGTATCTGCTTAGTATAGTCCAAAGTCTATGCTTTGAAAGTAGCAGTAGTTTAGAAGAAACTTAAATTGTGAACAGAAAGGAAAACAAAACCAATAAAGAAAGGTGAAAGGTAACTTGAGAAGTGACTTGAGAAGAGCAATGATTGCAGTGCACAACTAGACCTTTGATAGAGTAGGCAAACATTAGGGCAAAGTCCTCAAAGGTAAGGGCAATTTAACCAGAGAATTGATGAGCTTGCCATGGTTTTCTGAGTCTGCTTGCTGGAGATCATTGGACTCTGAACAGTCACTTTGGATTTGCATTATTTCTGAAGGTCCCATTTTGAATAGGATTCAACCCACTGACCCATAAAATCACTTTTATTTATAATATTAAGTATCTACATACCGAAGAGATATAGCTACAGGAATTAGAGTAAATAGATATCTACTGAAATGATAAGGATGCCTGAGGACTTGTAAAAGTGGGTTAAGAGTGGTGGGGAAAACATGCTGGCAAATTGCAAGGTGGCTTGTTTTAGCTTACAGATTTGGCCCAAGTGCATAAGAAATGGTAAGAATCTCAGTCAAAATTACAATAAATATTTTTTGGGAGTCAGATTATGAGATGGAGAAGTGGGAAATTTTCATCTTCAAGGTGGTTGCTGTGCAATAAGCTTGTACAACTATATTCACATCTGGGGGGGAAAAGTTTCTGAATAATGTTCTTATTCTGTTTGAACATACATTCTTGGATGGTTTCAAGGTTGGAGAAGGCAAGGAGACTAGCTGAAATGGCAGAGGGGCTGACTTACGGAAGAGGATTACTGGAAGAAATGCCACATGAAATTGTTGAGAAAAGGGCAATAGGGACATTTGAACATAATCAAGTTACTTTGCCAATTTGGATCAGGTATTTGCAGCACTTAAAAAAAATGGCAAAAATGTTTAGGTTTTTTAGAACAGGAAAAATAAAATTTGGGAAGTGAGCATAGAAGAAACATACACGTTTGTGGTCCAGGTATTTCACTCATATTATCTCCTGGATAATCCTGCAAAACCTGGTTGGTAGAAGACTGGTATTAAAAAAAAAAGCTTTACTTCAGAATGTGTAATGTTTGGAATTTACTTCTGCAAGATAGATGGCTTAAATCTCCAGAGTTGAGAGGTACGGTAGTGGCCAAAATTTTGGAAACCTTTTGGGAAAAGTATATTTTTGAGGTTTGATGGCTAACAACACTGCTTTTTTTTTCGTAGTACCATAAAATTATATATCAATGTAAAGATAATTTAATCAAGAATGTAATGCGATAACTTTTCTGAAGGATTTGCTATTAGAATAGCAGTTATAAAGAAGAAAAGTGAAACAGAAAAAATGAGATATACAAAAATTATCATGTCAGTTAATACTTAGTTGGGAAACCTTTAGCATGAATTATAGCCTTACAACATCTTCCCATGGAGTGAACAAAGTGTTTTAGTTCTGCAGCTGTTATAATGTGAAATCAAGATTGAATGATTGCTTCTATTAACTGAGTTTTATTGCTGGGTCACTTCTGACCAACAAGTTTCTTTAGTCAGCTCCATAGATTTTCAATTGGGTTAAAGTCTGGGCTATTCCCAGGCCATTCCAGCAGTAGAATATCATTCTCTTGAAACCACTTTTTGCACACAACAATATGACACAGAGCTGAATCCTGTACGGAAGGCTTCAGTTTGGGCTCAAGTTTTAATATATTTTTGGCTATTTTTATTCCTATTAATCACACAAATTCTGCCCGCGCCTTTTGGATGGCTCTCTAAATACTCATGCTCATTGGCTACAATCAGATGAAGGAAAGATATATTAATCTAAGCAAGTTGTGCTTCCTTTTTCTGGTTATTTGGCTATAACTTCATAGAATACAGATAATCGAACAAACTTTGTTGCACCATATTCTTGATTAAATCATCTTTCCATTGATATATAATTTTATGATACTAAAAAAAGTGGTGTTATTAGCCATTAAACCTCATAAATACACTTTTCCCAAAAGGTTTGCATTATTTTGGCCACTACTGTATAATTCAATTATTTTTTGGTCTGGTGGAACTACTGTCCCCATTTTTTTCTTGCTGTTTCTACTCTTTAGCAACTCTTGCTCCTGCCTTAAAAATCATGATGGCTTAGTTTTTCTCTCCAAACTATCTAATTTATAATTAACTATATTTATTGTACAATAAATTTTACAGAGCCAGACTTCTATAGTGATTAGGGTACTGGTCTAGAAACTAGGAGCTTGCGAGTTCTAATTCTGCCTTATTACACCCAATTGGGCGACCTTTGGGCCAGTCATTCAACCCCTAGGAAGATATGGCAAACCATTTTTTTAAAACAATAAAGTTTTATTTGGGTTTTTACACATACAAAATACAAGTAAACATTTCTGAAATCTTGCCAAGAAAACTGCAGAGATGTATCCAGAGAGTAGGAAGTATCACTGACACAAAGACTTAAAAAACAATAATGGATATGTATAATCTACTGGTACATACTCATTCTTTCACATAGTTGGATAGATTGCTTTATGTTATGTGAATCTCTGATCATAGATATGTCCAAATAAGCTAAGAAGTTTTAAGATAATTTTATCCATTCATGTGGTTAACTTACAAATCATGGTCTGCTAAGGTGCATTCAACCATATTTTTGAATTTGCGCATAACATGTTTTCTTCCTAGCATAACGATGTGTCAAGTGGAGTGACTGTTCTTCAGTCACAGATTAAGCTAGGATTCTTGGCTTAGTTTCATGTGCAAATTCAGAATTCAGAACAAATGAGAAAGGGCTTTACTACAGTTCTCAATCTTCTAGATGTAATCAACTTTAATTCCCATAATCTCTAAATGCCATGAATCCCTGAGCTAAATATTCTGGAATATGAAATTAAATACAACTGGAGGGTGCCATATCAAAACTAAGGACTTCATTGAAAAATAGAATAATTATACTTTGAAATAACAATACTAATTTGGTTGAATTGAGAAAGGCAGTCCCCATCTCCAGTCCTTCCATGAAAACCTGAAGACCTGGCTGGCTGGCGCCCCGATGGGTGAGTTCCACATTGGAGATGGCTACTGGACTAACAGCTGACCCAATCTCCTCCCCCTTCGTCCTGCTCCCTCCCTGCTCATCTTTTAATTTATATTGCTACCCTTATTTGACAATTGTTTACATTTTAAAATAATTCTACAGTCTATTGCTGCCAATAAAATTGACAGCAAATTTAATCATAAATAAGTTTTAGAAGAAAGCAAAAAGAAAATTCCAAATATAGGAATACATTGTACTGGAAATTGCTAATTAGAACAAGTAGGCAATAGTGTGCCAAGCCCTTCAAATACATTGGACGATGACATCCATCAATCGTGGGATTATAATACAGTTTCCAATTTAAATAAAAAGGGAGCAATATGAAGTTGAGAAGCAAACTGCAACAGTAGCAGGAGGATTCAAGAGTGATTTTTTATAAGACATGAGAAGGACACTAATAATAACTTAACATCTGCAATACCGGTTTGACAAAATTCCAACAAATAAACCACAAAGTCTAAGTGCCATACTGCTGGGGATTTTAAAAAAGTCAAGATTGTATAAAATAGACAAAACAGTAAAATTGCTATTGAAGTTTCCATATGTCTATTATTTAAATCAGATGAGAACTTTGATTTGTGTAATATTAATACTTGTCTGTACGTTGGCAAGAAAATGAGGAAATCAAAATATCAGTATGAAGCAATTTTTTATTAGATCAAACAAGACAAGATTCTAGACCAGTGATCTCTTTGTTGTGGTGTGCTGAAAGCGTGCACGTGCCAGCACTCACAATGCAATGCGCGCCCCCCGTGTATGTGTGCACAATTCCTTGCCCTGCCCCCTTACCTGCACTGCACATGTGCACGCCTCCCAGCTGATTTTCTACCTATTTGAGGCCATTTTCGTCCTCCCTCAAAATAGGCCTTTCAAAAAAACCAGAAGTGCCCGTTTGCAGTGTATGGAGGGTTTCTGGAACCCAGGGGAGACTGTTTTCACCCTCTTGGGGGTTCAAGAGAAGCCTCTGCAGCCTCAAGAGGCTGAAAAATGGGCCTTCTGGAAATAACGGAAGTGCCCATTTTGGGATGGTTTCTGGAGCCCAGGGAGACCGTTTTCGCCCTGCTGGAGGCTTGAGGGAAGCCTCTGCAGCCACGGGAGGCTGAAAATGGGCCTGTTTTGGCACTTCCAGTATTTCCGGAAGGCCCATTTTTTGGCCTTCTGCAGAGGCTTCCCTCAAGCCCCCCAGGAGGGCAAAAGTAGCCTCAAATGGGCCGAAAATAAGCTGGGAGGTGTGCACATGTGCAGTGCTGGTAAGTTTGGCTGGGGCTCACATGCCCTGTGCATGCCACCTGTGGCACGCATGCCATAGGTTCGCCATCACGGTTCCAGGCAGTATATAGGCCCCAAACCAGAAGCTTGGCAGGAGGAGAGAAACATTAACTCAAAAATTCCAGGCTACATTTCAATTCTCATTGTTCAGCTTTTCATAGGAAAGAAAAAATATCATTCTGCTGTAGAAGAATCCAAAAGTAGTTGAATGATATCGAACAACATGTAGTATAGCACAGTATAGCTAGTTTCTAAACTGTATCCATCTTTCCTTCCCATTTTCGCAGCTGCTCCAAAAATTGTTGCTGTTGTAGAGGATCTGAAATCCTTAAATCTGGTTCGTTATCATTTAATGATGATGCCCCATGAGTTTTGCCCAGTTCACAAAGAGTTTCTAAAACCTTGGGAATTACCTAGGGATGAGGGAGGGAGAGAGAGAAAGAGAGAGAGGGAGTAGAAGGGAGGGAGGGAGAAAAGAGAGAAAAACTTGCTTATATTCAATTATTTACATTTTATTCATCTACTAAATCATCTCTAATGAAGGTGGTCATTTCTGAAATCTGCAATTGTAGAAAGTTTCAGTGTGAAATCTCATCTTGATGTGCACACATTGAACCATGGCTTGTTGAATAAGTCAAAAGGAGTTAGTGTCATACAATATTCCAGTTTAGTAATGTACCATATGTGGCCCTCCAACCTTTGGGTAAGACTTTTAAAGGCACTGTTTCAGAAATGTTACATTGTTTTCCGAATGTAAACATTTGGGTTCTAAATTTTAATGTGACAGGAGAAAACAGTAAATAGTAAATATAAATATCACAGAGCTGTGATAGCCAGTAAACTATAGGTTAGGATTATTGTATTTGGATAGCATATTAAGCCTCAAAATAGAAATATATTCTGCTTTAATATGTCTGAATCTAGCTGCTCTAAAAGCAAGTCTAGTTTCTATGACTTCTGCTAGTGCCTTGAGGTGAGGAATGGGGAAGTTTTGGCTTGCTAGATTCTGTTTTTCAGCTTGCTTCAATCCCAGCCAATACAGCTAATTGCTCAAGATGTGAGATATTGTCAACATTCAAAAGGCCACTGGGTCACCACCCTGTTTACTTCCCAGCTTAGATCACTGCACTGCAACAACTGTTGTGGTCTTTGAAGAATGGACAACTTTGTTTACTTTCCTTAGAAAGATGGGATTAATGAACAAGTAGCTGAGACAAGGGGGGGGGGGGAGAAATCCAATCAGAATGTAGGAATGAATAACATGAGAGGGAGGAGAGATTTAAAGCAAAGCTTCTTCATTAGCAGCCAAAAGAACAAAGCTGTTTTGGAAGCACTCTGGAAACAACCATCTTTTCTGAGACTTGCTTTAACTTATCCCTACAAAGACAATCCTTTCCCTTTCATAGTTTTGCTGATAGCTGAGAAAAAGTCAGACTTGCTTCTTCCATCCTTCCAAATCTATCGTGAACATTAAGCAGATGTGGGATTTATATACAGTGCAATGTCTATTGTGTTGTGTAAATCAAGCCATCTTGCATTTCTTAGGTTATGGGTAAAGAAATTATACCTCGGTATATGAAATATGTGAAGAAAATCTCTGTGGTTGCTAAGAATCAACACTGATCTATAATTACAATGTGAATCAAATCACTGAATCAGTTAATAGCAAACAGTAAACAGCCAGATACAGAAACAGTTCTTCCTTCTCACTCAGATGATGAGACACTTTTAATTCTAAAGGGATAATCATATGCCCTTTTGATCAAGTGCACGAACCTCAGTTCAAGGCTAAACTATATATTCTTCTGCACTTAGAGAAACAGGTTAACTTGCTTACCTGTTAACAGGTTACCTAGTCAATTCTTCCTCAATAGTCAATTCTTCCTCAATCTGTATCTCAACTGACTCACAGATAAATAGAAAAGACAAGTTTCATTTTCACAGTAGAACTAATCTTGGCAAAAAGAAAAACTCTGAAATCGTATCTTTGGTTATTGGAAAGCGCATCTCTAAATCAATTTCAATTCCACAGGTTTTATTTATTTATTTGGTTTGTGTCCTTTCTATTTATTAAGTGCTCAAACCAGCAAACAACAATCACAATAATTTGAACCATCATAATGAAAATCATTTAATAGTTAAATAGCTAAAAAAGTGTATGGCTTTGTCAAGGTGGAGGTGCTAAATGCAATTCCCAGCACAGAACATTTCATAGGTCGTACTACTGAAGTCTGCTATTTTTTATTTAAGTTATAGAAAATGTGGTTTATGTCACATCATTTGGGTTTATGTGTCCAATTTATTTTACAGCTGCACAAAAGTCTATTTCCTTGGGAGACAAGGAAATGCATACTGGGAAAATGTACATATATATAAATATATATATATCTAACGAACTTTAGGACAAGAACTTACTTGTACCATGATCAGTTTTTTCTTCCAGACACAATTGGAGTCAGGCCATTCTTCCCCGAAGCATAACCACCAATTGTAATTAGGACAACCATTGCGCCCTTCCATGTACCCAATTAAATCTGAGGGAAGAAAGAGACAGGTGGATGGGATTTTTTTTCTTGTATTTGGTTATCTCACCACAGGAAAATATAATACCCACTCCCCAATTAGTAGATGCACATGGTGAGAAAGCTGTATCTCTACTACCAAGGATGCCTCAAGTTTAACAAAAAGGGAACAGTGAAATCCCCCAAATTTAGAATCAATATACAGGTAGTCCTCAACTTATAACTATTTGTTTAGTGATCATTTGAAGCACTGAAAAAAAGTAGCATGACTGTTTTTTGATACTTAAGACCATTGCAACATAGCCATGGTCACATGGCCAAAATTAGGGCATCGGACAACTGGCATGTACTTATGACACTTGCATTGTCCCAGGGCCATGTTGATCCCATTTGTAATCTTCCAGCTGGCTTCTAACACGCCAAGTCAATAGGGGAAGTCAGATTATCTGAACGATTGCACGGTTCATTTAACAATTACAATGATTCACCTAATAACGGGCAAAATAGGTTGTAAAATGGAACCAAACTGCCTTGGTTAACAACAGAAATTTTGGACTCCACTGTAGTCATAAGTCAAAGACAACCTATAGTGGCCATTTTGCAAGTTTTAATTTAATGAAAACTTATGGGTTCCCATAGATAGTTCAATTATCTGTGGACCACAGATCTAGAAAAAGCATGGCAAGAACAGGGACACATTGTAAGTCAGAGGAAAATAGCCTGAGTATGCCCCCTAAGCAATCATAAAAACCCATAATGGTTCTTCTTAGTGTGTGAATCATAATTGAAATGTTATGCACAAATACAGTCTGGTTGCATATTTGTGTGTAGAAAGGAGAAAATGGGAAACCTCACTCGCACATAACATATTAACTACATGAATTTCCAGATGTTTAAGCTGGTTTCAGAAAGGATTGTGGCACTTGTGACCACACTGCAAATCTACACTGGATCATGGAAAAAATCTCAAGAATATCAAAAGTTCATCTATATGTGCTTTAATGAGTATAAATCTTTCAATTGTATTGATTACAGCAAGCTATAGAGTCCTAAAAGACGTGACAATGTTAACGCATCTGGTCAAGTTGGTGCAGTCACTGTACCCACTGAATTCAGAAAGCCACTGTATAGAAATTGTTTGAAGGTAAACAATGGAATGTAGAAAGGTGGTATTCTTCTGGATTTCTTATTCAATCTGTATGCCAAAGTGATCATGAAGAAGCTGAAACTTTAAAAATCAAAAATTTGAGTAAAGATTGGAGGAAAATCAATGATCTTCAATATTTTGATGACACACCTCTCAGAAATCAAAGGTCTGAAATATCAAATCAAAAGATGAGAAATGAAAGCAAGACTCTTCCTGAATCAGAATTTCTGTTGTTGTTAAGTAAGATGGTTAATGAATGAACTGCACCCAATTTATAACCTATTTTGCTATGTTGTTAGAGAAATGACTGCAGTTGTTAAATGGCCATTAAGCTTCCCCCATTGAGTTTGCTTGCAGTTGGCTTTGAAGCCAACTGGGAAAGTCACAAATAGCATTCAGATGACCCCAGGATATTGCAACTGTTCTAATTTCATGCCAGTTGCCAAGCACCTGAATTTTTATCACATAACTGTGGGGGTGCATTGTTGTTAAGTGTGAAGATCGGTTATAAGTTACTTTTTCTCTTTAACTTTGGTCACTAAATGGATGAATCTAAGTTGAGGATTTTAAATTAAATTCAGGTTTCTGAAAGTTTGGGATGGATTGCACCTGGAAAGCATGTGTAATTTTCAAGAGAGGGAGGGAAACTTGAGGCAGATTTGGCGTCTGTACAAAATGCTTGCAGAAAGCTGCCTGACTCCATTTCTGGCAGCTTGAGTTAAAAAAAAGATGAAAAAAGCCAAAAAGACTACATGAAAACTGAATGAAACCAAACCATAGTTTGACTTTATAAGCGTTAATATTGAGTCTTCAAAAAGGATCCTAAAGGACAAGATTGCTCTCCTTCATGCCCAAAGCCAACTTTCTTTTTTTCATTATGCACTTTCTTCTTTTTTACTGGATGAGAATCAAATGGCCTTCTGAATAGAGAAGATGTTTGCTTATATCCTATTATCATATTACATTAGGCAGAATGTTTTTCTTCTAAATTGATTCCCTTGTCTGTTTGCAGGAAGAAATCAAAAGTGCTGTGTTCTAACCTGTCAATCTTTGATTATTGCCTGAGCCACATGGATTATATGCCATCAAGTCTGGGTTTACTCTTAACAGCCAGGCAAATCATTCCAGGACAATCTACATATATTATTTGGGAATTTAAATAATTTGTTCATTCTGGGCTCTTTTAGTAGCAAAAGCTCAATGAACCCTTGGATAAATGTTTAGTAGTTACTTTAGCACAAGTAAAATTAACAGACATCTGAAGTAGCATTCTTAGAATTGGGTAAAAACCACCTTAGCATACCTGATACGAAAAGCTGCAGATTGAAAATGGGAACAAACTTTTCCTTTAGTAGGTTTCCATGCTGTATGCCATCTTCCTGAATTTCAGATTGGCTCCAGTAGACATGGCAAGTACCTCTGCGCATGCCCCACAGTTGGTTTCCCTCGATACGGAGAAGCACACCTGGAGACACTCCTTTGAGAAGGCGAAGTGTGTACTCTGCTTGCAGCTTATCATTCAAAATGATAGGGTCAGGCAATGATACATCTGTCAAATCAAGATAATTGCCACGGATACCAGGAGGCACAAAGCACAGGCCTCGGGAGTTCACTTTATCGATCACTTGGTGTAACACCTGACGACCTCGATAAAAAGTCCGAACCTCAAAATCTGTCTCTAAAAAGAAGGAAATCCAAATTCTCAGGATACAGACAGTACTTTTTATTAGTTCACACACACACGCACACACACACACAAAATTTTTATTGCTGTAAATAACCACTAATACAGTACATTTGTGCCAAAGAATACTGAATGTGATTCTAAATTGCAAATTACAGCACTATTCAGTACTGGCTATGCTGACTGGTTAATTCAGCCATACCTACAGAGCCAGGGGTTTTCCAGTTTCTTAAGATATCAAAATTCTCTTACCAAGTTTTCCACAACTATCCTGCAGGAGGACTTAGTATTTCCACTAGATTCAGGAAACTTACCAAATGGAGTTGTTATCAGTTGTTCCAATGGTGAGTTCATGGCAATAGGTGAATACAATTCTAAACTGGATGAAGGTGGGTTTCCATAACCAATTGTATCTTCTGCTGCCATTCCTGAATATGGAACTTTACAAAACAGTATATATATATATATATATATTAAGAAACTAAAACTGATGGGTTTATAACTAGAAACTAAAGTATGGAGATTTGGGAGCTGAGGAATAACAATTTTTGCAGTCATCTCTCCCCCATCCCTCATCACCTAAGCTCTTGTCCCAATATGAATTCTGTATCACTTTGTTTACTCTAGGCATTTCATGAAGTGAGCTGTATCTCATGATAGATAATATTTTTTTATAAATTTTGGGTGGAAAAAATGCTGCTAGATTCTTTCTGATTTAATGCATCTAGGATTTAAATCTTGAGAGAGCAAGCAGATTTTGGTCTAGTGGAACTAAAGCTTGAAAGTTTGTTTTTGACTATCACAATCCTCATTCTTCACCAGAACGGCATTCCAATCCCCAGCCCAGTTCTTGTCTTTCTTCCAAATGTCATTCATGTTTCTCGGTAATTTAGAAAACAAGAACAATTTATATTTTGTGAAAGCATCGAATCATCATTCCTCCTGAAAGATGAATTCTGTGTATTGTTTATTATATTATTATTATTATTATTATTATTATTATTATTATTATTATTATTATTATTATTATTATTATTTAATATCTATATTGGCACATGATGCTTACATGATAAGGTTTTGGTTCACCCAGCATTAAACCATAAAATGTAGTTTTCAAAGTTTAAAACTGAGTTTATTGTCTATGAAATGGTATGGTTCTTTTGGCTTTAGGTTATTATTCTGTGTAAATGGAACTTCTCTAACCACAAGACAATCAAGAATTTCCCCTACATTCAGGAAGCTTACCAAATTCATTGGTTCCCACGGTTGGTTCCAATGGAGTCATTGGTGTTGTAGAACTATCCAGATCCAATTTGGATAGAGTTTGATACCATATTGGAGAGTCTTCTTCTAGGGCCAAAAATGAAGTATTGTAGAAGCAGAGAGACATAACGAAAACTTCAAACCCAAACAAGGAATAATTTGGACTTTTTCAAAATACAAAATAACCTCATCTGCTCCCCCCCTTTGACCATTCCTCAAACAGCAGCCTATCTTTTGATCTCCATTTACCATTTTATTTTAAAGACATTTAAGAACAAGACTAAAAAAGGAGAAAAACAAAAAACTGAGCTGTACAGATTACAAACATTAAATAATTAGTTACAAAATCTTAATAAAAATATTTGTTATTTTTAACATTTAATTGATACAATATATATTATTTTACATCATGTTGGCACTTTAAAAACTATAATTAAAATCTTGGAGTTCCAGTCTGTAGCGCTTTGGGCCAGGCAGGAATCTGCAACTGTGCGCAGTTTCTGCCTGTGCTCGCTGCTGGCGTGCCCTGAGCCATCCGGCTTCAGGGCTAGCCACCTCCGTAGAAGGTGGCGAAGATAGAGGGGATCTGGCAGGGCCAAGAGATATCGCACCTCTCTTCTCTAGCCCTTTTCCGAAGGCAGCTGAGTGGCGGTCAGAAATGGCCACCACATAGAAGTGCTCAGCCAGAAAAAGAAAGTGCAGGAGGAGTCGACAAGAAGTGAAAGTTTTTTTGCTGACCGAGACAAAGCAACAACGAAAGTACCCTGGAACTTAAAATTTGCGAAAGACACATCATTTCCAGAGATTTGCAAACGGCAAATGGAAGTTAAAAGGGAAAGTTTTTCTTTTTTTTTTCACTCTCCTTCCTAACGTGACAGCGAACGGAAATGCAAGTGAAATCAGAAAAACCCGCATTGGCACTAATAGGTAATTAAATGCTAAAGGGATAAGGATTTCTGAATATTTAAAACAAATCTTTTTTGCTGTAAGTGGGAAGAGAGAGGAAAAGAATTGGAGCAGGATTTGGAAGTAAGGAGGAGATTGCCTAGAATCTCAAAGAATTATTAAATACTAACAAGACTTCTAAAAGATACATTTTAACTGGAACTTTGTAACTAAACAGTAACCCCAGAAAGAGAAAGTGAAGAAAGAAGAAAGTGCTAAAAGAAACAGCTTATTTGGATTGTTTGGTGACTTTGGGACTTTTGGAAATTATTTTTGACTAAGAACACTTGGGTGGTTGTTTTGGAAAAACTTTTTCTTTCTACAATGGCATCACTTGTGGATGAAATGAAAATTGAATACAAAAAATACAAAGAAGAACAAGAAGGGAAAGACCTTCTTGGCACTCTCTTTCAATTCTTAGAAATGGCGATTTGCACCTAAGAGAAACTGACTGCGCAACAAGATGATTGGAACAAAGAAGAAGCCATCTTTGATGAACAAGTAACTTTATTTGGGGAAGAAAGGGAGAAAGAGGAAAAGAAAAAGGGGACTTTACTGGAAAAAACAACCAAAAAAGAGAAAAATAAGGTGAAAAGTGGATATAATGTTGGAAAACAACAGAAAGGGGGAAAGCAGAAGAAAAGGGAGGTGGAGAGACAAGGGGGTAAAAAGGGCAGGGAGAAGAACAAGCAAAGGAGGAAGGAAGGGATGAGAAGCCTTAATGGTGGGGAGCAAGATGTAAAGAAACAAGATTCATTTAGAGATAATGGGTAAATTTAATTGAGAAGGGATTCTGCAAAGGTACATAAGATTTTATTCTTGTATTGGTACTTAGAAATATTGTTAGAAAATTTGAAACAACATGTGATCAAAAATGGGATAAAATATTTAGTGTAACAGTGAAATTTTTGTGAATAAAAAGAAGGCAATGAAATAAATGAGAGAATTGAAGTAGGAGGAAATGGGAACATTTTAATGATACAATGATTTAAATACAATGATTTAAAATATGTGATGTGTGGGGGAAATAACTATGGAAGGTATAAGTGTTCCCATAAAAGTATGATATTCAATTGAAAGTGATGTGTAAAATGTTTAAGATATAAATGAATATTAATATTAATGATTAGATTTGTATTGGCATTGATAGTTGTTTTAATTATATTATATACTTATAAATTTTTTCTTCTTATAAAATATAATGTGTAATTTTAGAATGTACCAAACAGAATCCCAATGGAAGTCATGTATTATATTAAGTATTATAAATTATGGGGAAAGAGTCAAAGGCGTCATACTTGAATCAGTGTACAGGAGAAGCTTTGTTTAAAGAGAAAAGAGAAATAGATAGCTGGAAACAGAACAGACAAAGAATAATAAATATTATGATCTGAACTGAGATGAGATAAATAAAATAAAACTAAGAGAGTTAAAAGAGATGAGAAGCTATATAGAAAATGGTAATAAGATATGGAATGGTATATAAAATGAACATGAATTTGAATTTGTGTCTGTATGAAGAGATGTAACCCGGGGTCAAGCAGCTTTCAGAAAAGATGTTTTATGTTTTTTATGTTTTGTTTGTTTGCGTATTGTCTTTGAAAACCAATAAAATTTGTTTTTAAAAAAACTATAATTAAAATCAAGTCAGAAATTAAGAAAAACAGCCAATGTAAGGAACACTAGTCAAAATAATGATTTCTAGCTATAGGTAGTCCTTGATTTATGACCACAATTGAGCCCAAAATGTCTGTTGCTAAGGGAGATGGTTGTTAAGTGAGTTTTGCCCCATTTTACAACTCTTGTCACAGTTGTTACGTTAGTAACAAGGTTGTAAAGTGAATATGGTTTCCCCATTGACTTTGTCAAATCGCAAAAGGTGACCATATAACCCTGGGACCCTGCAATTGTCATAAATATGAGCCAGTTGCCAAGTGTCTGCATTTTAATCAGATGACCTTGGGGATGCTGCAGCAGTCATAAGCATGAAAAATGGTTATGTCATTTTTGTAACTTTCGATGGTCATTAAACAAATGACTGTAAGTCGAGGGCTAATCTGAAGCAGTTTGAAGTTTACTTTATATTGTAGAGCTTTAAAATCTTATGTAAGGGAGATCCCAAATACTAGATAGAATATAGCAGAAGTCTATGTGCAAATTATACTTCATAAATGGTTCTCACGTTAATGTCAAACTTTAAATAGGAAGCTATTTTGACATTTGATTGCTTATTGTATCCTATGACTAGTATTAAGTGTTGTACGTTATGATTCTTGACTCTTGACGAATGTATATTTTCTTAACAACCTTCAGAGCATTTGCACCAAGACAAATTCCTTGTGTGTCCAATCACACTTAGCCAATAAAGAATTCTATTCTATTCTGTTCTATTCTATTCTATTCTATTCTATTCTATTCTATTCTATTCTATTCATTAATGCATACACCCAATAACCCTTGGTTTGTGGCTACCAAAGAAGGAACCGAGTCACTTCCATTACTTTCCAATGGAAAGTATAAAATGTACTAGTGGGTGTTATCACATATAAAGTCAATTCAGTATTTTTCTTAGGAACGTAAATACACTTAGATATGTTGGTGAGAAAGAAAAGTCAATATTTAAAATTTGTTTCATTTTTTGGTGTACAATCTGCCAAAATTGCTGGATTTTATGACACTACTTTCAAATATGAAAGAATTCTCCAACCGATTATTACATTTTCATCTTAACATTATTCATTTTACCTCTCAGGAATAAAATACCAATAAAACATGTCATACTAATTTTGTAAATAAATTTGTCTTCTATTGATGTTCCTATTTTTGCCTTTTATATTTAGATTCTGAATGCTTTTAAACATAGAAGTATGTTTAATTTATTCTATTTCTGAATCACATTTCAGTGACTATTTTATATGTATGCCCCAACAGATGTTCTTTATTTTGTATTATAAGTGTTTCAAAATGTGACCAGGTCTCTAAATGTTCTACTTGGCTTTTGATTTTTTTAAAAACTCATATTACTTTTTTTGGCTGCATTGAAATCAATGAAGGAGAATCTCAGATTTTGTTTTAGGTTGTATCTTGTAATCCTTACATATATTATCTCCAATTATTATATTCATCATTGTGAAAAATTGATATTTAATATGATCCTTTAGATTCCCATCGCTCACCATTATCAAAACTGGAATGATCCAAGGGACTCGGCACATTCTCCTGTGTTTCATCCTGCAGAACAGGAGGAAAGATCAGAAAAAGCATCTAGTCTTGGCATGTCCAACCTATTGGCTTACCTGACCCACACTAAGTGATGAGGAATTGTCATGGGCCATGTATAAAATATATAATATAGTTAATACATATAAATGCACATCATAATGTGAAAAGTTTACAACCTTATGAGGTCGCATTACTAGCTCTCCAGGACCACATGCAGCCCATGAGCCACAAGTTGGATGCACCCGATTTATTCCCTTGCCCTCCTTCTCCATCCAGAATGAGATCCAGAGTGACAAAATGTTCTTTTTTTCATTTTCCTTTGACCATTCCAGCATGTAAGCTATGTTGGAAACATTTTCCCAGGACAGAAACGTAGCACATACCAATAAGCATTGCCACTTAAGGGTTAAGCAGAAGAAACACAAAGAAAGGCTTTTGAAAAGTTGTTGTAAACAAGGGGCTAGTTAAATCTTTAAAGATATAAGAAGATACTACAACTTCATTCTGCCAGGAGGCAATATGCTATACTGAGTGTTTGAAAAGCTCCAGCAAAGGAAGGGAACCTGATTATCAGGTGAGAGAAAGAACTTACCTGACTAAATGTTGAACTCATTCCCTGTGACCTCCTATTTTCAGCTGGAATCAATGGTGCCTGAATAAACTCCACAGCTGGATTATTTAGGTCTGTATAAGAAAATAACAAGCAATTATTTTTTCACTCCGATCCACAATTCCCCATTTTTTAAATTACATTGTCCTTGGTAGATGCTAAGCTTTCTGAGGTTAATTCCTTACGGTCAATATTAACGCTGATTTTATAGACTTTGTGAGGATCTTCAGGGTCAGTGCTCTTATCCTCCACCATCTCAATACCCTCTTTTCGGTTCAAAGCAGAGCGGAAGTTCCTTTTCCATTCTGAAGGAGTCCGAGGATCTATTTCTGGGTTGTAAAGGTGTCTAGCAATGGCCCAATCCTAGGCAGAAAGGCAACAGTATAGTCTCCAATCACCATGCCTAGCTTCTCTTCCTACATGTGACAGAGTTCATCCAATAGACCAAAATCTGACCTGCTTCTGTCTCGACTTAGTGCATTTTGTGAATTCAGCCTCTACAATTTATAAGATACAATTTATAATTTGTGATTTGTAGCTTAGTATGCTGGGAAAACCAAGTCATATGATTAAGGAAAATTTATGCAGCAGCAATTTTCTTCATTTTTAACAAACGATAATAATATTTGCAGTTTTTGTTGCAAAAATATTTTTCTACTTTAGCCACTTTCAGGGATTGTCTTCTGAAAGTGATTAAAACATATGGCTCAGTAATCAAATGCCTAGACAGATGTTTTAAAGGTGTAGAGAATATGGAAAAAAAACTTGATGGAGATAAGATCAACTCCACAAGAGGCAGATAATATTAGGAAGTAGCTTAGACAAACACCTCCTGAATTCACTGAACCATAAGTAGTAGAAAGAAGTACAATATAATCAGACTTGTGAAATTCTATTATAGCCAGTTTTGTTAGGAATCTGTCCCCCAATTAGTTGGGTTGGCAATATATAAACCAACAACGTATGTTTGTAGCTTTAAGAAAAAATCACTGTATTGATTTATACCAGCAGTTGCCAACCAGTGGGCCGCGGCCCACTGGGCTGTAAGAAAATTTTGGTGGTCCACAGAGAAATCTCACCCCCAGAGCATCCCCACAAAGGCTGCACCGCCCACATGGCCCACTGGAACCCTCCCCACCCACTTACTCCTTACCTGGTAAACTTGCCTGCTAAATTGCTTCCTTTTTCCAACCATCTTCTGTTCTGCTGTGCCAGGAGATTTAGATTAGCTAGGAAGCATGAAATGGTTGGATTTTTTGCTTTCTAGCTAGTCTTTAGATCTTCGGCTCAGCACAGCCGAACCTCCCTTAGGACTGAAGGTTTGCTTGCAAGCAAATTCAGTGCAGACTCACGGCAAGCAAATTTGAGAGATTGAGATGATGGCAGATAGATAGATCTCTGAATGAATCTGTGATTCTTTAAGCCTGCCTTCCTGCTTTGTCTGATTTTGGGTAAAAGTTGCTCTTTTTTAAATAAAAAATTCAATATTTACATGCATGGTGTGTTGTGAGTTAATTTTGGGAGTTTGCTTGCTAGCAAATTTTATGAGTTTGCTTGCAAGCAAATTTTATGTGACAGACTGAGCTAGCCAATGGCAGATAGATAGATCTCCGAATGAATCTGTGATTCTGTGAGCAACTCAATCTACCTGCTTTGACTGATTTTGAGTAAAAGTGGCTCTTTTTTTAGAAAAAAATCAATATTTATATAAATATTTATATTTACATATAAGCCAAGCCCAGCCAGTCACACGACCACCACGCCACACCCACAAATTAGGCCATGCCCACAGAACCAGTTAGTGGTCCCTGGGATCTAAAACTATGAGTTTGGTGTTCCCTGAGGTCCAAAAGGTTGGCGACCCGATTTATACTATATTCTGATTGGTTGATTATGTTGCAAATTACCATAAGAGGGAGCTAGAGATCATAGCTTGCTCTGTCTGACATTCTGTCTCTCTGACATTCTGTTTCTCTGACATTCTATTGCTGTCTAAGGTTCTCTGTTGTATTTATGCTGTGCTTATACTTTGATATTTTTGTTTACTGTAAATGACAAAGGCAACTGGTAAGAAGACTTTGTAATTGGATATTCTTTGGACTGTAAAATGTATATGACCCGGACCGTCTATTTCTTAAAGTAAATTTTAACTCAATTTAGTGTATCTGTGTGTGGCTGGATAATTATTCATAACTATTCTCATAAACGTTTCTATGTGCATATCCTTGTTACTCAAGGGTTATTATATACATATCATAACATTGGTTATGGGACCAGAGAGATATTGAGAATCAGTGTGAATATACAGTTTCGTATTCAGACAGCTGATTGCGATATATTGTTAAACTACCAATGGCACAAGAACAGTCAACCAGTATATCCCTGATAACCCGGTTGGATGGAACAAACTATGTTTCCTGGTCTATGAAGTGCAGCTTACTTCTGCATAAAGACGGATTATGGACTGTAGTTAATAGTCCACCGGATGTAACAGCTTAGGACCTACTGAATGATGAAGATGAAAAGAAAATAGCTGACTTTAAACGGGATAATGAAAAGGCTCTTAGTACCTTGTTTCTCCAACAATATGGCCTCCCCCAATAGGAAGTCCCAGCATGTTTGATAGGCATGAAATGAAATTAAGCCCCTCCCCCCAAATTAAGGCCTATATTAAAACATGCGAAATGGGGGGAATGGTGGGGGGGGGGCTTGCCATTAGGAAGTACTTTTGTTGCACACCCAGATATGGTGCTGCCTGCGTTGACCCCGATACGAAGTGCCCCACCAACGCCGAGGTCAACATCCAAGCCATCACTGCCAGCCCACCCAAAGATGCAAGGGGGGGGGAATTAAGTCACCCCTGAAAAGACAGCCTAGCCATTTTTTCGGGGCTCAAAAAAAAAAAGACCCGGCCTTATTATATGAGAAACATGGTATAATTGGACTGACACTGAGTGATCAGCAATTAGTCCATATTCATGGTGAAGAATCTGCTGCTAGGTGTTGGGACATTTTGAAGAAGATTTATGTTCGAGATAGTGTGGGTACACACATACACCTTACAGGTAAACTGTTTCGAGCCCGTCTTATAAAAGGTGCAATATGCTAGCTCATTTGGAGTTTATGAAAAGGACTTTATAAGAGCTACAAGAAAAGGAGCTGATTTTCAAAAAAGAAGATACTTCAATGCAGAATGTTTGGGATACAATGAAGGCATATGCGAGAGGATTAATAATGGATTATACAAAGAAAAAGAATATTAGGAAGAGGCAAACTATTAAAGCTTTAGAAGATGATTATAAAAAACTGGAAAAAGAATTGCAGAATATGCCACAGAAAAAAGATATTAAATTCAAAATGGATATAATTAAACATAAGATGGGTCAGGCGGAGAAAGAGGAATTGGCACAAAAAATTAGAAGTGCTAAACAGAACTATTTTGAAGATGCAAATAAACCAGGTAGATGGCTAGCATACAAATTGAGAAAGGAGAAAGAATCTAGGAGAATAGTACAGTTAATAGATGATCAAGGCCAAATGTGTTATGGTAATAAGGAGAAAAAGATAATTATCCAAGACTTTTATGGACAATTATATAAACAGGAGGATTTTGATGAGGAAAGAATTAAGCTTTATCTACAAAATGCTAACCTACCCAAGATATCTGAAGAGACTGAAAAAATGTTAGAAAGTACCATAACAATGATGGAACTAACGGAAGCATTTAATATGCAGAATAATGGAAAAGCACCAGGCCCAGATGGGCTCCGGGCAGAATTTTATAAAACATTACAAGAATCGCTGAGCACTCCATTGTTAGAAGTTATGAATGAAGCCATGTTAAATAAGAAAATACCTAAAACATGGTCAGAAGCTTATATCACACTTATTCCAAAGAAGAGGCTGATCCATCACAAATTAAGAACTATAGACCTATTTCTTTACTGAATGCAGATTACAAAATCTTTGCTTCCATCTTGGCAGAAAGGCTCAAAAGATACCTAAATAACTTTATTCATCCTGACCAGAATGGATTCCTGCCAAGGAGACAAATTAGGGATAATATGAGGGTAAAGTAAAGTCATGGAATCAATTATTAACCAATCCATCATCCTCCACTTAGAGACAAACAACCTACTCTCCAATAAACAATTTGGTTTCAGAAAAAAACTATCCAGTAATCTGCAACTCTTACACTGCAAAAACATATGGACTACACAACTTGATCAGGGCAAAACAATAGATGCAATCTACATAGACTTCTGTAAAGCCTTTGATTCAGTGGTACATGACAAACTACTCCTAAAAATAAAATCCTATGGTATCTCTGGACAACTGCATAACTGGATAGAAGCATTCCTGTCAAACAGACAACAAATGGTCAAAATTGGGAGTGTCCTATCAAATTCTGTACCTGTCAATAGTGGTGTCCCCCAAGGCAGTGTTCTAGGACCAACTCTCTTCATACTCTACATAAATGACCTCTGTGATCATATTAAGAGCAACTGCGTTCTTTTCGCTGATGATGTAAAGCTGTTCAATACCACAGACAATACTGCTACCCTTCAAAAAGATCTTGACTGTGTATCAGAATGGTCAAACAAATGGCAACTTCAAATCTCAACAAATAAATGCTCTGTCTTACATATTGGCAAAAAAAATCCGAAAATAAAATACAAGCTGAATAGTCAAGATCTTGTTGATGATCCAAGCTCTGTAAAGGACCTTGGAATACTCACCTCTAATGATCTAAGTGCTAGTGCCCACTGCAACTACATAGCCAAAAAGGCATTAAGAGTTGTTAACCTAATCTTACATAGCTTTTTCTCTGGTAATATCACACTACTAACTAGAGCATACAAAACATTTGCTAGACCAATACTCGAGTACAGCTCATCAGTCTGGAACCCACATTACGTATTTGATATTAGCACAATTGAGAAAGTCCAGAAATATTTCACAAGAAGAGTTCTCCACTCTTCTACTCGTTGTAGAATACCTTATGCCACCAGACTTGAAATTCTAGAACTAGAAAACCTTGAATTACGCCGTCTTCGGTCTGATTTAAGCATGGTATATAAAATCATACATTGCAATGTCCTACCTGTCAATGAATACTTCAGCTTCAACCATAACAACACAAGAGCACACAACAGATACAAACTCAAGGTTAACCGCACCAAGCTTGATTGCAGGAAATACGACTTCAGCAACAGAGTGGTCAATGTCTGGAATACTCTACCCGACTCTATAGTTTCTTCGCCAAAACCCAAAAACTTTAACCTTAGACTGTCTACTATTGACCTCACCCCTTTCCTAAGAGGTCTGTAGGGGGCGTGCATAAGCGCACCAACATGCCTACC